CCGATCTCGCCTATTCAGAAACTTATTGGAAACGATTCAAACTTACTTGTGAACCAATTATAATTGATAGTCAGTCATATAGCATWATGTAAGTCAGTTGGAGCAGCAAGCTGATTGCCTACTGGTATCCCAGCCTAAACCACTATAAAATGTAGTATGAAAAGTAACCAGTCCGATTGCCGCCCTATACTTATTGTTCAGTTGTCAATCAACCACTTTGTGTCAGACTACATTCGCTACGTTTTACAAACGCTCTAAAGGTCATCTTTCAAGCTGCTTCTTGCAAGACAATAACATTTGGTTCACTGTTCAATTTATCTTCCTGGTCGGCAGTCAGTTTTTGCAGTGGTTTCAAAAATTGATCGCCTGGAAAACAGGGTCCACGAAATTTGAAGAGCACCACACACCAACCAACGACCAACATCGAGAACAAGATAGAGCAAATAATGATAATATCYTTAGTGTCCAAAGCAACCATGGCGACTGTCAAATTGCGGTCCCTAGTTATCAAAACAGAGGAATATATTATGTCCAATAGTCAGACTTCAAGATTCCCTGCACCATCTTTGAAGGTACAGCCGGTGCAGGTGGATTTTGCGTCGAATCGTAAAGAGGAGCCGACGGGTTCCTGGGAGAAATATATCTGTTCTTATGTCCAAGCCAGCTGTAAGTCACAACTGCATGGTTGCCAGCGAGAAATTCAGGAAAAAAGACCTTTCCAGGCACGGGATACTTTTCTAAGAATTTTTGCCAGGAAAATAAAAATCACCGAATTAAAAAACATATAAGCCGTTTTTGACCATAAAAAAGTTATATTTTAAGTCTTTCTTTGACATTGAAAATGTTTGCCAGGAACAAATCATTTTAAAGAAGGAAGGGCGCCACATTTACTTGTGAGATTGTCGGCAATGTAGCACAAAATCCCTTCAGGATTAAATTCGTACTAGAACAGGTTTTTTTAGAAGAATAGAAGCCGTCGGCTCCTCCTGAACCGTTGCAAGTGCATGGCTACCATTSAAGATGGCTCAGGGAACCTATTATAAATTATATTACAAAAATAGGGTCTGAAATACAACAGGCAGCCCAACCTAATATCCAAACTGGATACTAAATGAGTCAATACTAATGGACCATCACCAACCTGGTTGAATTATACTATACATAATGAGTTTGATTAATTTGGGGAGAATTTAGAGAGATTCCCATTGTTTTTTTTAGAGGAGGGGGTGCGATGATTTGAAAATGAAATTTCCTGAAAGACCGAAATTTCCAATAGATTCTTCGAAATTTCACCAAATGAATTTCCAGCCCTTCCTTTACAGTCTAAAAAGAATCCTGCACCAACTAAATCATCCACTCCTCGCCCCCCTCCCCCCTCAAATGTCAAATGAACAGCCCCTTAATAATCGAAAATCCCTACCATCCGATGTAATGATRTATGTCTAGAGGTCAGAAAATAAATGACTAACAATCGTACGAAACAATTTAATTCCTCTATAAGCAGTCTTAATATTATAGTAAACACGAGGCCCACTACTATTTAAGACATGAAGTGTAAAAATTTATAGTGCAACGGAAAAGGTTTCATGTGTTAAATTGTCATCCTAATGGACATTCGCAGCGACGCCATTTTGGTACAACAAAGCAAGGTGATACTTGTAGTCTTTGTACTTATTCATATAGACACTAAAATATCGTCTTAAGACCGTTTTTACATTTCCTTTTTTAAAAACAGTACAACTACTTCTATATTTGCCGGTTTAGGAAAAGCAAAAACTGTTTAGAAGGACTGTTGTAGCGGACATAAAAATTATAAAACTGTTACAACTTCAAATTCAATGTTTGTTCTGCGCTCAAAGCAGAAATGTTATTGAGTAAATTAGGTTTCTCAGTACCTGCAATCTAATTGGTCTTCTTTTTGGCTATATAAAACAGTGTATTCACAAAAATRTATGCAGCCTGGCGCCAGAGGTCCGTTAAGCTAATGAGGGAAACTTGTTTCGTTTCTGAAAAAGAAACGATGCAAACTTCAGCATAAGCTTGATATATGGCAGAGAGATTTSGATGTTTCCACTTACCTACAATCCAAAGAGATTTATAAAGTTATTTCAACAGATAGGAAGCTTAAATCGTGACTTCTGTACAGCATTTGCATACCGTTATTCCACAGAATGGTCGCGATTTGATACAATATGTCTGAAATGTCCTCTGACTGAGAGCTGCAAAAATGTGACACTGYCAGGGGTAGGGTGAGGAAAATCATTAAAAGTCGTCAACAACGTGCAAAAAGCATAAGAAAATTCCTCGAAACTAAAATAAAAGAAACAATACAAAAAAACAGAAACTGTTTTCATTGCTAATACTTCCTTGCAAAGAAAGCTAAAAATATGTTATATGCAAATGAATGACTTTGTTGTTATCTTCACGTCTTTACAACAGAACAACATTAAATGGAATTGACTGTATGTGGATAAGAAAATTAATGAATAATTTTCTTATCCATATACAGTTAATTCCATTTAATGTTGTTCTGCTGTAAAGACGTGAAGATAACAACAAARTCATTTGCATATACCATATTTTTAGCTTTCTTTGCAAGAACTTTCAACCTCAAGTTCCAAAACTAATTGATGACAATGTCAATAACATTTTACTTGAAAGTATGACCTGTGTACTTTTGCATCAAAATCCTTCGCTGACATTAAAAACATTTGAAAATTACTTTGTTGTTATCTCGATATCTTTACAACTGAGCAACGTAAGCAGGATGACTATGATTACACTAAATGATGATGATAAGACTTATAACTTTCAATACTATTCGGTCTATCAAATGTTGAATATGGAAATTTCGTGATACCATTTTCAGTTTTGCTTCTTCTCGCATCGTCCAGTTTTCAGTTGATTAATGTGGAAGTTTGCGAGACTAAAAAGTTGTCCTTTGCTTACAAATACTCTCTGAATACATTTCCAGTGGAATACAGGACTATATTAGTTGACCACTAGTCATTTTAAGCACAGATGCTTTACAAATATTAAAATATACCAGGGTGGCAGTGCAAATCTTTCAATTTATCATATCAGTACATTGTTATTCTTCTTGAACACATGCCAGGTCACACAACATCGTTTACTTCGTTGGATGGCATCTTTTTAATATCACTTCCAACTGAAGCGAAAAATGGCTGATAATTGCAACATTTCTCTCTGAACTTGTAAATAGCCACACACCACATGAAGACGAACAATGCCAGCAAAGCAGCGCATATAAACACGACTGTACGACTCTCTAGCTCAACCATGATGTATTGTTTAAAAGAACACTTGTTGTTGCAGATTCGAAGTAGATTTTTCCTCGAACTGGACCTGCATTAACCTTTCTAAGATGCACTTTTCTATGGGAAAGCACCAATTCAAGATGTGCTCAGTAGATTTAGAGCTGCTCGATCTTTCTCTACCTCAAAGACGACTTTGACCACTGCAGAAGGGGTTTCCTCTGCGGATGATTGAAAAACAACAACAACAGGATTACTTCTATCGAAATATTCGTATTCCCTGCTGCCTAATACACAAATGCAGAAATTATTCGCCTTCGGTAGCTTGAAATTGCCAGCCTTTGTCCAGGTACAGATGTTTCGTTAACCAATTKCTTTGTTTTTGCCAGCGAGATGTTTTTGTGGGTCACGTTCAAGGTGAAACGCAATAGTCTTTATATTTATGGAAGCTCGGATGATCGCTTCAAAACAGCCATTCAAAATGTCAAAACTGACCAATAGCAGAAGGCTAATGGTCTGATTTTGTGTCATCAGAGAGAACCTTTCAGTGGTAGGGTGGGGGAGCTTTGGACGAGATTCGTGGTAACATCTTGGTGAATGGAAAATTTCCCCAAAATCAGAGGCAAAGAGATTCTGTACAGTGTACAGTAGAATTAGAATACAGTGTGCATATTTTCATTGTCCCGCATTTAGTGAGGTCAAATCTGATAGGTGAGATTTGATTGGTCGCCCTGGACTTTCACATTCAATGGCTTAATTAATTATAGCTAATTATATTTTCGATAGATTTAAAAGTTAAAACTACAATCAAAAGTGTTTTAGTGACCGGTAACTTTGTCGATAGTTCCTTTAAAAGCTAACAAAATCAATGCTCAACTACCCCTCCCATCCCTCTTAACAACTTGTTTGTCTCTCCACGATGTGATATGTTTGGAAGAAATTCTAAATTCATTTTGTCCGTCGAAAGTTCTTTACGGCAGATATTTTTTTCTCTACTGCAGTTATTAAAATAGAAAACCACAGTGATTACAAATTCATTCATTCCGTTGCGGTTAAATATCAGTACCAGAGTCTATGGCGGTAATGTTTATTTATAGTTTTATCCTTTGCTCGATATCCGCGAAACAAAATACATTTCTTCGTTTAAGATGGAATACTTCAAGCCCTCGTTAAATGGAAATAGATTCTCTTTGGTTAAATGATACGCTGTGTTATTAGTTAACTGTTTGTTTGTTTTTGCCTATTGTACGAGCATGTCCGACAATGGACAATAGATAAATGTAAATTTAAGACGCAAACAAAGCAGACGTTTGAAGCTGATGACCTGTCATGATAGAGCGGGCACAGAATCACCCCACTTTGAATTGATCAATAACATTGCTTAAATTGTGACAGTAGAAACGAAAAGAAATTTGATTTCATGGTTCATGTTCCATGTAAAAATCTTATAAACACGCAAAAACAGGAATTTAATTCKGAAAATGCATCAGAATTAAGGAAATAAAATAAATGAATAAGAGCTGAAAAATGAATAAGTACTGAATGTAAAATACTTGGTCAAATGCAATTAATTCTTTATCACAAATAGGTAAGATCCACCGCGAGAGGTAAATGTAAGTAGGCGTGAGATGGGAGAAAAAATTATACAAGAAAATATATTCATGTCAACAAAAAGATGTTGCTTCAGCGGAWGGAAACTAGTGTTGACAACATGATGTTATTTTTTCTTGTTTCAAAAACCCTCAAGACTCTCAGGCGCTCTCAATTTAATGCCCTCTTAACCTTGATTGAAATACCAAAACCCACTGACAAGACTTGTGATGTAGTCGCTCTCAATTTATTGCCCTGTTAGCTTTTTGCGCAGTACGTCACTAAATCATGCGAAGAAATGTWAGCATACTTATCATGACATTTCTTTCAATTGGTAATGCAGTTAGGTCATCTAAGAATACTGAAAAAAATTCTACAGGTATTCCTTAGGATCAAAATAACAGCAAAAAAATTAAAACTGCAAAAATCATCAATGTAAACGGGGCTTTTTGAACAGTTACAACGTCTTCATAAGGAATTATTGACAAGAAAATTATTTGAATATCTACAGAGTCTTTTATATAGGTTATAAAAAAATATAACACCAACATTAAATTTCTATACGATAGGAAAGGCAACTGATCTTGTCAGTGTCAATATGAGTATTTTTTTAAATTTTCCATGACCTTTTACATGGTTAAGTGGAAATCGTTCCTTTTTTCTAGGGTTTMACTTCTGCCTTTTTCATAATGGCACATCAATAAAGTTAAGAGGGATATTTATGCTATATTTTTCTGATTTTTCAGAAAGATCAYGTGAAAATACGATTGTGACAAAGTTCGGTTGATAGCGTCAAACTAAAGGTCACGAAAACATCCTTTGSCTTATTATTCTAATGAATTCAAAAAGTCCCTATCTTTAAACTGCTTCATTCACTCCGCTATATAACGTCATATTCTAAAAATAATATCAATTGTTTATAAAATACAAATAAAATTAGTGATAATTCCTCCACCTACGGTGCTCTGTGAGATATTTTTGTCACTAGTCGAGAATTCAAATTTAATACCTTCCTGACAAGACATGAAATGTTCTTATGCTATTAGGGACCAGTTACGTTTAAAGTGACACCAATTCAATCTAGTCCAYTGTCCTGGTTTCTCTTATAATCGAGCCGTTCTTCCGTTTGTATTCCATTTGGTACGTAGCAAGCTAACGTTGGAAATACTCTCGACGCATAGAATCTTACGATATCCTAAGCTTGTCGGGGCACTAGTTTACTCATCAAATGATTCCACCATTCATAAGATAGTAATRGCATGTTTATATTCATCCCAAGTTCCTTGAAGGAAGATTTTCTGCATATTTCTCGTCGCAGTATCCCATCTCAATTTCTKYCCTTCGCAGACGTATAAGTCTTTGTTGATGCACATCGAGGGCTCGAATCGACTTGAGTCGCCACCAAAACATTGTTATAATAGCAAAACCAACCATAAACACAACTGCAGCAACGATTCGGAAGATCTTTGCTTTTGTCTCAATTGAGGACGTGCAGTTCGAGTTCTGAGTACAGAGTTTAACATTATTRTACGCTACGGAAAGCAAAACGAAGCACAACGTCACGAGAACGACGCCAGTGAAAACACAAAAGCTATTAATGAGGAATGTCCTCGATTGTCGTCCGTTAGGCATAACCCTACATCCTATACACCACTATACGTGAAACAATTCCATAATATTCATGGTTCATACTGGCACAAACAAGAACAAGCTGGAMAATCAGGTTGTGGAAAATTATCCGACATGTTTTGAACAGGGTTTCCCCTGTCACGCAATATTAGGGTGACATAGTGATGACGTCACAAAATGCAAATTGTGTATTTTTCCGATTTTGTTTCTTTACCTTGAAGCAACATCAATGTTCGGTAACTTTATGCCAAACAAACGCCTTTATGGACTCGGTACATAACCTTATATTAAACTGCGTTAATTTTACAACTTGTGGCTATCCAAAAATAAAGAGATTTAGTAAGCTACTTTCCCTTATGCCCTACAAGGATATCTGAACAAATTTCATAATCTCGAAAAAACTGTTTTTGTAACGTGACAYTGAAAGTGCAAAGTTTGCATTTCTATTCACGACTTTCCATACCCAAGTTCAAACACTCCAGTGTGAGTGGTATCCCTGTGTAGTATGATTACTCGGGCTAAAGAATTACCACTCAGGCTCTTCTTTTTCGAAATTATGAAATTTGTTGAGATACCGTTGTAGGGCAGAAAAGAAAGTGGCTAAGCGATAAGCGTCTGGGACAGACAACCTCGTTCCCAGGGTCTTATCCCTTCGCTCGAAGGGACAAGGCCCTGGGAAAGAGGTTGTGGGACAGAGTATCAACGCCCAGCCCCAGCACCGATTCCACAAATTGTGTTCGAGCTTTGAACCCAGTACAGATTTTAAAACAAATTTCGTGGTGTCTGTGTTATCGTTGAAATTCTGTAATTGTAATAAAATGATTGTATAATGATGGCATGGAGGCCGATCTGCATCCTGGGACTATTTTGGRATTCCTGTGCCATATCCGTACCTTCGCTACAGGGAGCCCGACAATTCATTAGAAACAGGAGTGAAAGTACCGGGGAGGCTCGTCGGATCTTTTAGGGKTAAAATTTCGTGATTGTAAACCTTTAAGAGTGCCAATTTATTTTGAGTTTCTGAAATATGGCATTTTCCCCCCTATCGGGGAATATAGGCTATTGTGTGCCGACTATGTTTCATTAAATTGATCCCAGCCTTGCTATTCTAGTGTTAAAACAATCATTTTCATTAAGGGAAATTAAAAACTCTCTCATTAAAAGACCCATGTTTACAATACAATGAAAGGGGCCATTCATTATACAACCGTGCTACAAGTAACAGTTAAATATTGACAAGAACCTGTGACACATCATGACAGCAGGGACCAACTTGAAGTTTGTTTTTCGCAACAGCCACATGAAGGATATCATGTTATTATAATAACACAATAATCAAGTTTTGAATTCTCCAATGCTCTGAGTTAGCCTTATTTGTGCTCAAAATATTCCTAATTGTGAGAATAAAAATGTGAGATTTCAAATCAATTTTGTTTTTCTTCGCAAATTCCATGCGTTTTCTCGGGCTATCAGTAACACAAAAGAATATGTTACTTGGTTTTGAGGCTAACACAGAGCAAACCAGAAGAATTAATTTTAGTTTTATCAATATCGACACACTTCTGTTGCAAGTAATTAATTCCATCAAAGTTGAGAAAACGTTTTGAGAAATTGCTTTCCAAAGAAAGGCGACTTCAACCGTTTCATTTTTTTTAATGTAATGTTTATCTATTTCTTATTATTCTGTCAATTTTTTTTAAGGATATACGTGAATTGAACATGAATCATCCACACAACTAACTACAATTTAAAATGATCAATAATCACATACAAACAGATTAGTTGGTTCCAGGGGGGTTATAGTGGTGACTACCCACCCACTTTTTAGAGTTCAAAAGTAAAGAAATAGAAGTTATGATATAAATGAATAAAAGAAGAAATAAAATCTGAATGGAACTCATTCTGAAAAACAACTGTAAAGCAGTGTTCATCTGCCCTAAATCTACCTAATTAACATGAATTCATGATTTTCCTGACTTAGCCATCATTTGTAACTTTCTAGAACCGCCAACGACACAATATCCTTGTATGATTTCTTTCCGTGCCTACAGATTCCTTTCTGAAGAGACCAATTCAAAACTCCCTTCTTTCCCATTAAAGCTCTTCAGTGGATTGGTTAGCAGGGCGTTTAGATCCTCAAGGAGGAAATTATCATCTTCAAGTGACTTTTTCAAACTGAAATTATGGAAAAAACGCCCGTAGAATTTGCTAGTCAAGCGGGATTAAAATAGCTTCCGTCCCTCAATTTAGACGTTTCGTAGTTTTAAGTATGAGGAAATGTGGATTTATTGATTTCAAGAAAAAATAACAATGTAAAAGAGACCATTRTTGGTTGGAATYAAGGAAAAACGATTACAAYTTGCTACCCAAGAAGGTTTAAATTGCTCACTAYCCTTTTAAAGCTTTTTGCATTTTTATCAGATGTTGAGTTTAGATAGAATATCACGTTGATTTACTGATTATTATAGTGGAAAATTACCATATGAAAGCAACTTCTCAAAGACGGTCTTATGCAAGCAGACGATCTTGAAAAAGATGTCCACCTAAAAAGACATTTCCAATGTTCCAATTCATGTCACGTGTCTTGATATAATTCAGTTTCTTCACGTGGTACATTGTCTAATGTCYTTATAGATTGTTGAAAAGGAATTGTAATTTCTCCACGAAAAAACACCCGACATTCTAGACCATTTTACACGAACGCCGAAGTGAATATTTTCATAAGTTACATGCCAATTAGAACAYTRAAATGTCTAATTACTTGGATAACGATTTCAAGATTGGCTGAAGCATTACAAAATGCCTCAAGGTATATTGCTGTCTCTTCCCTTACAGCAAATCTTTATATTCTAATTATTAGTGATTCCAATAAAATAACAATATTTTACTTATTGCGAGAGAAATTAAAATTAATCCGGAATAAAATTATCCTTATAGTATAAGAATTATGGAATAATTATTAAAGACGCCCCGAGAAATTGYTGTTTGGGAAAAGGCTAAGATAGCTGCCTCCTCGGTCCTCCATTAAACCTTTTCATACTCTTTTAAGTACGTAGATTAGATAGTGAAAAGCTTATTTACCTTTTTTTGGAGAAAATTATTTGTTAATATAATGAGATTGCTCATGAAGAAACAAGAATATATAGCTCACACACTCAAATTTTATCATTTTCTCGATAGAAATGATTCATGCTTTCAATTTTGTTTTAAATTCTAGGAATACTAAATTTTTGCTTTCGTGTATTGTATGATTTCAAACGAGAAATCATAAGAATACGGTTTGATAACTTTCCTCATTAATGGGCTATAAACTATGTCAATTGGTATTCTGTTTTGAACTACAGGCCTCGTTAGCCTCATGCGTCGGTGATACTCCGCTGACATTACCGCCACATATTTTTTTGTATATTAATTCATAGATATTAATTACCTATGCTGGTGATCATTTTAACAAGAGATAGACCACAAGTCGACTATTTGTAAACTAGCAGACAGTAAACTGAAGTGCCGAGTTGGTGTTTAAGGCGTTTAATTACCAAAATTGGAAGCGGAATCGCAAGAGGGTTGTACTAAGTTATTTAGAACACTCCGAGAGTCCTCYGATGTACAAAAAGCGGAACTACATGACGCGCGGCCACCATAMATGGATTTTGAATTTGAAATCAAAACTGATCGAATATGCTTATGATTAGACCTTGTTATACATGGATTGCGCCCTTKTGATTGCGGTTAGGACTCCGCTTAACTGACGTGAAGAACGTCAGTTGATACTATAACCCTTCATTAAAAGAACTAAAAAAAACCCATAAAGTTGTAACATAATAAAGTCATTTTTATAACAAAATATACCGATATATTCGTCATTTAAAAATCCAGTGAAAGATTATCAAAAAATTAAAGCAATCAAAAATTCAAAGTCTAGTGAGTAAATTTGTTTCAGAATATTTTCAGATTCGAGCCGGTCGATCTTTGTAATCAATGCTCCAATGACTGAAATCCTTTTTTCCTTAGCGCTGCTCTCTTTAAGTGCCACACGATTGACATTCGGAGTTATTTTATAGGATAAATGTTGAGGTTCACTCTTTGATCCATGGAATGAGACCATTTTATTCTCGTCACCTTTCAGTACTTTCCAAAGCCAAAAAATGCAATACGGCGAATATCACCTGTTAGCACCCTAATAAACCGCTCGATTAGCACCCGTCTTATTCTTCCAGTCACTCTCTGCATAGCCAATATCACTAAATATCATTTATCCGGGTGCTCAGTTAGGACACCGAAACCCAGAGAGATTTTGTGAGCTTAAACTATGACCACACTACAGTGTATTTAAACAAGATTCATTATCGAAAATATATAGAAAGTTAAATTGGCCTTGTAGGCTATGAGTATGGCATCCCTGGGGATATCTGTWTATTGACTTGATGCTGTATCATAACCGGTATTGATTGATTGATATTATCCAATCAATGTTGCCCCATCGCTCTTACAAATATACACAAACAACGAGTGCCYATTGTTCCGSGATTCATTAAGAATTCGTATCTTTGAATACATCGCTAAGCACCTTAAGCGGTGCCGCGAAACAACGATAACAAAAACACCAGCCGGTGGCAAAGTCTTCTTTTCGCAAAGTGGTCGTCATGGATGACTTTCTACCATCAAGAAAGACGTGGGTGAGGTAACAACRATGTTTACAAACACTACGATTGCTAGTGGATTTCGAGTTCCAATGTTTTGTATGTTAAGCTTGGAGTTGTTATTTGGCGTAGCATCTTGTTCAAGCGTGTTATGGGTGTACTGTAGAAAACGTCAGACCAGAACAGCTGCTAATATGTTTATCGCGAACTTGGCAGTTGTAGATGCCTTCTTGTGTATGACAGGCATACCTTTCACCATAACAAGACTAGGACTATTTCCGTCTCAYACCGAGTTATTTTGYCTTTGCCATGAAGGTTTAACATCAAGTCTACGGAACGCTTCGATAGCGACTCTACTGTTGATCTGCTACGATCGCTACCAGTCAGTAACAAGTCCATTTCGACTACGATTAACTTTTAAAAAAGCTAAAAGAGCATTGACTATATTGTGGATTTCGTGTGCAAGCACGTTTTTTCTCCCGTTCATTGAATATTCAGTTCATCATCGCGCCACTGGAGACTTYAGTTGTATTGACTTCTTTAGCAATACCAAGATGATWTAYTACGTGAGACTGTACTACCTTCCARCATTTTTTATAGCTACTTTAATTAGCTTGCCTTGCTACTGGAAGATCTCCAAAGCTGCTTTATCGCGCATTCAGATCCATTCAATCGTTGTGAAAACGTCTTTGGTTATTCCTATGGGTTCGACACTCGARGAGAGAACTACGACTGCAAGACTMAGGCAAAAAGAGTGGCGCGTTGCAAAAATGACCGGTGCAATCATGTGCTCTGTCTGYATTCTGTGGTTTCCCTACATGCTATTCACTTTTTTACTRTGCTTTAAAAAACCGGACTTTACACTGGTGAARTTGGAATTCATATTTTTAATGATCGGTTATTTTAATTGTACTTTAAACCCTCTWCTTTATGCCTTTACAAAACAGAAATTTCGAATTGCTTTCATGAAAACTTTACCGAAATTTTCGCGATGAGGATATYAATAARYAACGAATCTGAGAGTARCAAGCCAAACAAGGAAGAACAAATGAATCTTATAATTGCWTTACAATCTTAAAGTTCAGCGATTTACATCACTACAAAAACGAGATTTGGAATTCTCTTGAAATACAAAACAGTTGCTGAATATCAAAATGATCGAATCTAAGTTTTAAACGTTTAAAATTAAGAGTGTCTTGTTTATAGTAAAGAGTGTGTTATATTACAAGACAATCCACCCACACAGTCCTAAAGCTGCATGACACTGAAATAAAGTCTTAAAAATAAACACTTTTTTTCTCAATTGGCGTGAAGTTTTTTTTGCTAGCTACATGCAACTTTGTCTTTGCTTGACGTTCGCTAGAATTTTAAAAAACCTTACAATCAAAATACGAGAAAGATCGAGTTTCTCATTCTACCGGGGTTAGTTTTGATATTAGTTTTGTTATTAATAAAATTATAGCAATGGTGCCAAAACCAATATTTATTACAAAACATGARAAAAATATATCAAAAATGAAATTGTGTGAAATTTCGCTAGTACAATTCTAAAAGACTCCGACAGACATTCTTTAGAAAGCTCATTTAGAAAAGGTTTTATATTTTGATGATAAGTGTAGGTAAAGAAAATAGYACAGAATGTAATAGTTGTAGAATGCATGTGGAAATTTAATAATATAATAAACAATGTGACACTTTTCACTTGGATATGGAGGTTTGGATGAAAAACAACATACAAAGTGCCACGCAAGCAAATCTATTTCTAGAAATAACGACATTGCAAGGCTTTTTTACTTTTAGAGCACCGGTATGGATCTGTGTGAGGAAACTTTCGAATTACTTTATAACTCAAGTTAGTTTTGAATTTAACTTGTGGAGACCTTGGTAGGCATTCAAATAATGCATGAAAGKGCATTGAAAGGTTTGAAGCATTTTAGCTTAACATTCATGAGCTATACATCACGATGTTGAATATATCGAACACCAACTCAAAACTATATGACAAAAAACAGGTACATTTGGCTTTGTTGACCTTAAACTTTGAGTAAAACTTATTAAAAATAAAGTTAACTTTTTCAGATCCCACAAATGAAAAAAATAGCTTTATGAGCTCACAAAAATATACGTTCTCTKTAGAATAATAGAAAACAGAAGGTTTCCTTATGTTAAACTCGAAATTTTCGGAATTAGCAACGAAGCAATGAAATTACAAAAGCAATTTTCAAGTCACGATTTTGAATAATTTATTAAAAAGATGCGAGCTTTGTCTGCAAAATGATGTTTTTTGGATGCTATAAAAAAACTTACAATTACATTCTAGAAATCATGAGTGTTTTGAGTTTTAAAGCTCAATAATTCTATCTTCTCACTGTGCAAAATGACARGATGTCAGTTTTGCAAATTTACGAGCAAATTTTCACATTAGTTTAAAGTGCTTCCCGAAAAGGAAAATCTGCAGTCAAAATGAAACTCAGCATAACTACAGGAACAAGTCTAGACATACTTATGATATCTGCTCTCAACGACTAAGCCGCCCGCTTGCGCGCTAACGAGACAGCATGACAATTCTGAGTGCATCTCTACATTTGAACCGCCAATTTACGACCACCCTTAATACGTCCACCCCGTCATAACGACCAAATTTTTAGCTCCCAGCGAATTGAGCCCCCATACTTTTCTTTCCTTCTAATATCAACCCCGTTAATACGTCCACTTTTCTGTTTCCCTTCCGTGGCCGGAGTAAGGAGGTTTCAATGTTCATGATTTTACAGTACAATTTTWAAAAATAAGTTTCTTTTCGTTAGAAATTGTTAGTTTTGAAATACAACACACTAGCTTCCAAAAAAAACTGACAAAACTTCCATCGTTTATAATTTATTTTGAATACTTCTTTGTCTTTCCGACATAATTATTAGTTGGTATTTCAATCATTAAAAATGCAGTAAACAAGCTAAAAATACCTCATATGCCATATTTTTCTGGATTTTTAGTAGGAMGTTGTGTTTGACTGTTAGTATATCATATGCATTTTAGAAGATAGTCAAGAAAAAAATTGCCTGTGAAGTAATTATTTATAGTGCACGTGAAAACAACTCGACTTATAAATACAAAATATTAAAAAAGCATAATTACATTGGTGAAACAGTAAGGCCTCTTTGCAGGGCAATGGCATATATTACAAAGAGAGTTTTAGAAAAAGAAAAAAAATGGATTTAGGGTTACATAAAACAATTATAATTTTCTTAGCTGAACGGTACTTTAGTACTAACTTAAAATGCATATTTGTTATACACCTAATTACGTAATGTTGTCGGGTCGCAAAAAGATATAGCTAACACCGAAAGGGAAACCGTAACAACCAAGGGAATTTCAAGGACTCAGAAATACCAAATAAGTATGTCTAAATGTTAAATTATACTTGTAGAGAAAATCATTTTATTCAGTGCAGGTAAGCAATTAGCACTGAAACATTTGCTCTATTCGTAATATTTGCTTTCCCATCACCCCTTTGATGATGTAGCCTTTTGGAACCCGACTATGTTTTTTTAAGGTACTCGCTGATTTAACTTYTCATAATTTCTATTTCGATTCTTGAACCAAAACCAGAAAGAAGGGGAGGCTACCCACCCTTTTCACCCCCGGATTCGCCCTTAAGGGGCGCACTTGAAAGGAGGTCGATGGGTACCTGTGAGGCTTTAACATCCAAGAGTAGTCTCCTTCACGGTTCCTTGCGCAATCTTGAAAGGTAGCCGTGCCTTTACATCGAAGCGAGACAACCGTTGAGCGTACAATGATAGAAACCTGTGAATAATTTTCTGTAGGTGTGAAAGAAGTCTTCTATCATTGCTCCCTCAACGGTCGTATCGCTTCGATACAAAGGCACGGCGCAGGGAACCGTGAAGGAGACTAGTCAAACAAGAAGTCGTATTCTTTATAAAGATTTGTTTTTTTTTTCAAATGCAGTGAAGGAATTAGACGATTTAATGACGGGTCTTAAGCTTAACTGTTTCTAGGCTTATCGGAAGACGGTACATTATCACACAAGACAGGATTTTAAGTGTGCCTTAATGCACAGTCTGATTATTCCAGTTACAAGATTTTGTCTTTAAGTGAGATTTTGCGGATTTATTTTGTATGAATTTAATGACTAAATGTTTTTGAGAAAGAAAAAGATTTAACAATGATAATAATGAATTATTGAAAAACAAACATAAAAACAAAACAAAGAAACAAAACAAAACGAAACAAAACAAAACGAAACAACACAAAATAAAACAAAACGAAACGAAATAAAGAAACAAAACAAAACAAACGTTGTCGAGATGAAAAAAAGGAGACAATCTCGGGCTTTTTTACCCATTCGAGCCACGTAACCAAAGGCTCATATTTGAGCCAAACAAAATGCGAATTTTGTCCAGACATCACTCTATCTGATCAAGCTTTTGTAAAAGTAAGTAAAGGCAAGTCTTCCTTTATCAAATCCTTTTTTTGTAAGCTCATTAACGCCCATTAAACTGTTAATAGGCGATTTTTTTTCTCTCTTAGGGCGTACGCTTTGAATATTACAGATCGACGAAGAGTCTGATCTGCAGGTGCATGTACATTGTGTATTTTAGAAACCCAAACTCGACGGGATTATCACAAATCAAGCATTCTGATTGGTACGGCCTCGTGGACTATCATCTCTTAGGGGATTAATGTTCAAACATTTCAAAATTTCAAATCCGTAAAAAAATGGAAAAACATATGAGACTGAAGATGAGACCGGCAATCAGTCAGTGAAAAAATACGCCGAAAGGACAAGTTCAGAATAATTTCGTGTCTTCCTCCACACGCTTTTAGACCCTGTTTACATGACATAGGGTGCCCCTACTAGTAGAGCCAAAATCCTCTGTTTTAAATCCACCAGGGCCAGGGAAAAGAAATAAAAAGAGTTAGCCCTTCCACGTAGGGGCACCCTATCTCATGTAAACAGGGTCTTAAAGAGCAAGTCTTGCAAAGATGAAGTCTTGAGAATTAATGAAGAAAAAAAATGAAAAAATAATAAAGAAGAAAAGCAAACAGATTATAGTCACATATCCAATCTTTGTGCGATTAACAACCGGGAAGATTTAATACTTGCCTGATAAATTTACCATCTTTAAGTGCGCCATTAATCGAGCATGCGCAGGACAGTGTCGTCTGCCGTTATCATGGTAATTATATTATCGCAAATACAGCAATGTGAACCGTAGGTTCATAACGATACAAATGCATTAATGATATAAATATAGCTTTAAACAGTAAAAAAATAACATATTTTATTTCCTAGGTAATATGCGTTTCACTCTAACATATGAACGGTGTGGAAATTTAAAACTCAACAGAAAATCGAAAAAAAATTGCGAGACTAAACGATATATTTAGCGTCTCAGATGTTCAATATTTATCCAACATCGGTTTCTCCAAACACAGTATAGAAGTGAAATTTGTTGTTTTGGAAAACTGTTTCGTGTCTATCCAATAGTCTTCTTCACGGTTCCCTGCGCCATCTTGAAAGGTAACCATGCCTTTACATCGAAGCGAGACGACCGTTGAGCGTGCAGTGATAGAAACCTAKGAATAATTGTCTGTAGGTGTGAAAGAAGGTTTCTATCATTGCCCGCTTAACTTTCATCTCGCTTAAATGCAAATTCACGGCTACCTTTCAAGATGGCACTGGTAACCGTGAAGGAGACTATTATCTCTTTACCATGAATAAAGTGATGCAACGAAGTTCGAAAAATTGAAATACTCGGAGAAGTTGTCCATGTTGTTCACGTTTTAAGGCAACCTTTGATATGTGTGTCATGTGTTTAGCATGACAAAATGGTCAAAAAGCCCATCGAAAGTGAGCGTTTGAAAATTTTTCAATGCCGCTATGCATTCCAGCCTTCACCTTGAAATARCCTGATGCAGGTCATGTGATAAATGTCCAGAAAATACGCCCTTTTGCCATTCTTTGAATGGATCCCAGGATGCATTGTAATTTCCAAATGCAGGCCGCAATTGTTTCATGTATTGTTACATGCAACCAATAAAAATACGCCGTTGTCAATTGAATTGATCCCTGGCTTCACTCTTAGATGATCGTATCCTACCAGTACGCATGCGCATGTGTTATTTCAGTTTATGCTGAACCAAGRTCCAYCCCATGAAAATAASGCTGAAGTCACGTGATATTCCATTGTCCAAACCCACCAATCCCTTCACTCTTAGATATTGTATCCCACCAATGCGCATGCGTCATAAGTAATTTCAGTACCAGCTGAATATTACCCAGGTCCATATCATCAAAACACGGCGGAAGTCACGTGATAATTCCATAGTCCAAAACAACCAATCATAAACTATAAATGCATCACGTGTCACGATGCCGTGGTTGGTTTCTGTGCGGTTAAACCAAGCCTCGCTTCGGTCATTTTGTGACGTAGTCTCATTATTTCCCAGTAAATTTCAGTCGCTTTGAAAAGTAACAATAGCGAGGTTTGAATTAGAAATGGAAACATGTACAGCCTTTTGCAAAAATTATGAGAATTGTTTAAATATCTAAATATCATAATATCCATATCCACATATTGTCCAAAACACGCGAGTTTGCTAGAATAATTCATTGTTGACATCGAGAAAATGTTCAGAACTACAGATAAGTCTGTCGCCAAAAAAAACTAAACAACAAAGACAAGGGATTAAGGGCATCGCGCGGGATCATGCACTTGATATTATGATATTTAGATATTTCAACAATTCTCATAATTTTTGCAAAAGGCTGTA